CCATCTGGGTGCCCTCGGTGTACGGCGTGCGTCCCGGATCCTCCCGGAGCGAGATGGCCAGCAGGGTCTCGGCGTCACTGGTCAGCTCGCCGAAGGAGCACACGCCGGGGCGGCGGCCTTCGGCCAGCATGGCCCAGATGCGGGGCCAGGTGCTGAGGTGAAGCCTGGAAGGTTGGAGGAAGGGATGCAAGAGTAGAGCTTCGACACGCTCCAGCATGGGTAACAGCATGAGGTCGATCATGTTGGGTTTGGAGCCGTTCAAGAAGTAGGATGGACTCGCTGTCTGCCTGGCACTTGCAGCTAGAGCTGTCTCAAGAGCGTCCAAGGCCGCTGTGAGTTGCTCCTGAGCTGGTTGCCCCAGAAGGCATGGAGCAAAACAGAAGGGTTGGCTGCACCTGCAAGTAGCCACAATTACCTTTTTCTTGAACATTCTTGAAGGCAATCTCCAACCCCATCTGTACAGTTGAGGCTTTTGAACAATTTTACAAACGGTACTGTTCCATCTATCAATCAATCCCTTGTAGTCCATACACCACCCTTTCTTGAAACTCCTCTTCACCAGCTACTTAGTCTCTCATCTCCTTCCCACCACTTCCGTCTCCACTTTTTCCCCAATTTCTCCTGGTGTTGGGGTTCTGCACCAGCCACTCCCCAGGTAGGCCTCCCACCCGGCAGCCGCTTGTACGCCGAGTGCGCCGCTTGCAGTTGCCCGAAGAGCGACCACTGAGTGCTCTGCGCAGCTCGCGGTGGTGCAGTGGTCAAGCCAGCACGCCGCAGCTCGGCGGGGAAGCGTTCTGAGAGCATCGCACAGACTTGCTCACCACGGCCGACCTCGACTCTTTGGGCCGTTGGGCTAAAGGCGAAAAGGAACTCCTTTCCAGGTTCGTGGGATGTAAAGAGAGATTCGTTCCGGAGGAGGTGTACCTATAATATAGTTGTTTTTTGTGTGCATGTGTGTTTGTTTATGAAGATTACAGGACCGTGCCGTCACCGATGAAGTTTTTTCGACCAACGGGACGCGTGAGAAGGGCTCGGCTGTGACCAAAGCAGGCGAGAAATTGAAACATCAAATCCCAGCTTGAAGGCGGTTGAAATTAGAGAGTGATATCAGAAAGTGAGTGGTAGGTTAGCAGGACACATTTTCTGCAAACGAGCTGACTTCATTGAAGAAAGACCTGGAGACCTAGATATCTGTTGCAGCAATCAGGGTGGGGGTCCATCACCAAAGATTCCACCCAAGGCTGGGGGGAAATCTCTGGTTTCTGCAGACGTCTTCTTTTTGCAACCACTGAGTCACTGAGTCATTGATCTGGGTGTTGACCCAATGCAGTCAGTTCGTTTTCAAGAGAAAGGCGAAAGGGATACACCTGGTTCTCAGCTGCACGTGCATTTCAACTCAGCTTCGTGAGCCTGGACTTTGACGATTGGCTCCACTCAACATTTGGTGTCAAGTTGGGTCCCATTGTCCCTCACGTGAAGGCAATGTCTCAACTCTAGGAAGTTACTTGTATACTATCTTCTACTGTGCCGAAGGGACGTACTTGGCTCAAACCTCTTCAAAACTAAGTCCCCATCTCCCTCCATGTCCGGGGCTGGAATTGATGCTTCTACCTGGGACCGAGGCACATGTTTCAACGCATCCTCGAAGATCCATTCGCTTGCACTACTGCGCTCCTGCCGTTTCGGCACTTCTTGAGCGCAGGTTGCTCGGGTCCGCGCGCGACGGACTGTGCTTGCGTTCATCGTGCTGCGTTTGGATCAAGACAGGTCGTTTGGATCAGGTGCAAAGCGACCACAACAGGTCTTCGGTTTGCCGTCAGAAAAGCCTCATCACCCTGATCTGACCAGAAACGCAATCGTGGGCAGATCTGCAATGGGGGGCAAATCTATAGTTTGGGGCAAAGTCTGAACCTTCACCCAAAATTCTTGTCCACTCTGATCCACTTTGGGTGCATGCCCCCTCTTTCGCGCCAAAGAACTGGGTGCAGGTCGCCAGTCCTTTGCATCTGAAATCGAATCAAATGGTGGATCATGGCACGGAGACCGACCGCCGAAGACCTCCCTCTTCGGCAAGATCTCGGTGGACGAGGGCTCCGACTCGACTCGACCCCACAAAACCAGTGACGATAGCATCTAGGTGTCAGGATCGTCCTCAAATTGATTGGCCCCATGTTCTCCCCTGCTGAAGCAGGGCGTGTTTGGTTTTGGACCGTTTCTGCCACCCTCCAGTCATGGCTCATTTTACCCTTGTGGGTTATTACTTCCTGAGTTTCCTTTGTCAGTTGAGTCACGTCACTCGTTTAAACTCATGTGATACCCAGACACTCCATGTATGCCATATATGCCTACATTGACCCCCAAAACCACCCCTGGCCTGATCGGCAGTCCGGACTGGCAGTCCCATGTGTCGTGTCTGGGAGACGCACGCGAGAAAGAAAAGAAGCAATCCAGGACCGTCCCCTCCTCATCGATGAGTTGAATCACCGGCACCATGCGCTGCTTCTTCTTCTCCCCATCCTTCAGGTAGGCACGCAGGGGCGTCACGTCCATCACATAAGGTACTCGCAGCTCCTCCAAGACCACCCAGGACACCTAGGGACATCGGGACCCAGCGGAGAGAGGGCCAGGGGGCGGCTGAACTGATACCGGTCAGACCATGACTCCGTTCTTGCCTTGGGAGATGATTTTCGTTCAGAAAACGCAGAGAGGAAAAAGGAGGACGAAGTCCTTCGTCCAATCAAATCATGCCACAACAAAGAGCGTATCAAATTTGTCAGGCCAAAGCATCTGGAATCTAGTTGGGTTTTCAGCCTGATGTGAAGACCTCTGACTCCAACTCCACAAAGAAGCCCACGTGATCAGTGTATTTGGGGGAGTGGCATGGGAACCCAAGCCTTTCAAGAATAACCAATGTTTCACCAACTGCCCCGCCTATCGCAGTTCCCTGTACAGTTCTTTCTTGACTTGCGACATGATACTGGAGCACATTGTAGAAATCCCCACGCCCCAAGCAAGTACACATGCAAGAAACCACAAACGAAAAACCTGACCGTTCCGCCGCAGACACCATGCAATGTGGGCACCACCCAGCTGCGTCGTGCCAGAACTTCAGCTGGGGCATCGCAGCCTGGGTCATTGCTTTGGAGGTGGGGGGCAGGGGGGGGCATGGGGGCAAGTGGGCTGTTGCTGGGCAAACAAAGAAGAATCATCCAAACCGCCTCAGCTCAAGCAGTGAGTGATTTACCAGAAAAGGGTTTGGAGATAGTCGATGCCGGGACCTCGCCTTCCGTTCGACTAGTTTTTCAGCTCAATTGACCTGGTGTTGTAGTCCCAAAGTCCCTTAGTCAAAAAATGCAATTGCGATGAAAAAGGGCATTCAACCCATGGTGTTTGGACGAACGATGGGTCACAACGGCTCTGGTGGGCGGTCTGATGTTCGGATCAGCCCTGATGAGGAGCCCTGATGAGGGGCCCTGATCTCCTCACAGAATCCATGCATTCTACCAAGCAAACATCGCTTCTCACTGACGTGGTCCTATGCCACCTCAAACAAGAAGCGGCAAAGAACTCGTGACTCAACACTCCCCAACCAAAACGAAACGGAGCCATGGTATCGCCCTGGCATGTGCATGATTCGCATGATCAAAACAGGGTCTCCACTCTGTCAGGAGGCCGTTACTGACCTATGTATTTGTGGGCTCCGTGCTTGTTGATTGCTTCTGACCAGTTCATGCATCTAGCACTGCAAGCAGGCTCGCATTCTGTCCATCAATTCAGTATGGCCTTCGAGAAAGAAACGAAGAAGACCACAAGACCCCATCCTCTGCTCAATAGAAGATCTCCCATCTTTCGAGGTCCGGTCCTAGCTTGGTGACTAGAAATCCATCTCCCACCTTGCCCCGTCAAGACCTGGTACCCTTTGGCTTCGGGGCCCAGCAGGTGGAGCGGGGCCGAGATCACCCGTTCTCACCTTGCGGCCGTTCTCATCGGTTCATGAACCACTCCCTTCAGCCCAGCCAATGGGGTCTAAAGATGACTCCGAGGTGAAAAGGAAAAGAAAGGAGTCCAACAAAAAGAAGCGGGAAGTATAGTGATATAGTGAAGTGAGGCGACTTCTGGGAACACCCAACAAGCGCCCAGACCCCCCGAAAAAAAAAAAAAACAAGTGGAACGCTCAGAATGCATCCGGCGAACCCCAAAGAGCCGCTCCTTCGCCTCGAAGACCCGCGGAGAAGGCGGACCGGCGGCACCTGGGCAAACGGCGGACGGCGAAAACGGTGGATCCAAATCGGTTTGTTCAAAAAAGAAGTTTGAAAAGAATCTTTAAAAGATTACGCCGGCATAGACCCCAGAAAACAAAAAGACTTTTGCGGCGGCCAGCAGCACACCGCAGAGGCACACTGCAGTTCTAGAGATACTTACAATGTTCAATAAAAACATCCACAGCTTCTCTCCAGCTCTAACAACGCGCTAACTTCATGTTCACTGCCAGAATTCGTCGAGAGTTGTTGGGATGTTACACCTTGGAACATCCCTCGGTCGTTTTGACCGTGACGCGTTCACATCCTTGAGATGTGTCGGGCTAAGCGCTGAATGGATCAGCATCACGCTTGCGGTCGTTGTGACCTGTGGTGACTAAATAGAGAGAAGCTGTAGAGGAGGGAGGGGCCGAACATTGACGTATCCTAGAACCAAAATGGCACACAGAACATGTAAGTACCTAAAACATCACGTGAAGGATCACTACCAACGTTCTAGAGATACTTACAATGTTCAATAAAAACATCCGCAGCTTCTCTCCAGCTCTAACGCGCTAACTTCATTTTCACTGCCAGAATTCGTCGAGAGTTGTTGGGATGTTACACCAAAAGCTCTTCCAACAACACTCGGTAAACCAATCCCAGGACGCTCTGAGTGGACGTTGGCAGTCAAAATGAACTCATGGCTGGCCGATTGGCCACTGCAGCGGGAAGCTAGAGGGGTGAACCGCTACCGAGCGGTGAAACCGAAAGAAGCCTGGCAGGCTCATGCGATGCCTATGTGCAGAGGCGAACTTGGCGGGAGTTCTGATTCAAGATCCCATCTACTGAGGAGATCTGCATCAACATTCAAGGGACCCGGAATGTGTGAGATATCGCAGCTGATTCGTTCGGAAACTAAAATGGAAGCTAAATGCTCAACAAAATAACAGAGCGGAGCGGACGTCGTGAAGAGCTTATTGCCGGATGCTTCGGCAGCAATGTTATCACTAAGGCTCTGAAAATGCAGTGGGATACAAACTGTTGGGATAGAAACCCTTGGGCTAAAGTTTCATAGCAAGCAATGTCTCTCTGGGCATCGGGTCGAACTGGAATATCTAAAGACTTGACGTCCAAGACTGTCCATCTCTCTGCAAACCAATAGACGGTGGAGCCGGATTCAAGCAGGCCACCGACTTGAAACGAATCCCCTTGGGCCGAGGCATCTGCTGATGCGTGAATGGAAACCCGAAGCGGCGGGCGCATACTTCGGAGAGGGGGGAGATTCTCAGCCACTGCAGCCATAGTTTGAGTACCCGTCTGCTATGTACTGAAAGCTTTCGCTGTTGCGATTTGGGATTGATGATTCTAAGCCATAGTCTACGGTCGGTCAATCGTACCGACTCCACTTCATGCAGGGTTTGGACTGGGGTATGCCGAACAGAAACCAACTTGGAATCAGCCGGGATTGCTGTGCCGGTTGGTGCGCAAAGAAAGGTCAGTTCATCTGAAAGACAGGATTTGACTAGAGTCCAAAAGCCTGGGTTGACACTGTAGTGTGTTGCGGGGCAACAATACAAATCTGAAAACAACCAGTGGAGCAAAGCGCGAAATGGCAAAAAGAGATGAGTGACCCAAAGCGCCAAGCCTGTGAACTTTTCCAATTGCTTGCAAGTGCACTGACAATGTTTAAGCAAATCTTCAATCTGTGAGATCAGCTTGTCTTGTTTGTCTGGGTGCAGACTTACTAGACCATTGAAAAAGTTAAAGCGCCATCCGATCCAATCAACCATTGGTCCTAGGGTGCATTTACGCCAGCTCAGAGGGATGCAGAAAACTCTACAAAAAATCGCCAGGAGAGTAGCGAATAGCGGCAGGGCTTGTTTTGGTTGGGTCAACAAGAAATCGTCTACAAACAGCCAAAGGCCATGTTGGATCCAAATGAGACTGTGAAACGTGCGCACTAGCCAAGCACCCAATCTACCCCACCAAAAGGCACTAAAGGTGGCTCCAAACGGGCAAACCCGGTAGAAGAAGATCTTACCACGAAAGGTGAAGCCTACAAGGCCTTGATGGTGTTCCGCAAGGACTATACGCTTATGCGCTGACTTGACGTCAAACGTGGCTGCATGCTGAGGCTCCGAACAATTGCGGAGCGGGAAACACTCGACAACGTCGCGAGCGGAAGGATAGCACTGGCGATCGGGGATCCAACAATTCTGATTGGTGTTACAGATACTGCTATCTAACACCAAGCGTGGGGGGCGAGAATCTGCAAAAGCTATTCCCAGCTTACCAAGGCCAACTCCATGAGGATACTTCTGTTGGGCATCCGCTTCATCCCCTGGAAACTCAAAAAGCCAACCTTGATCAAGTTCTGTTTGAATGAGTTCCGCTGCGAGGTCCGGATAGTCTTCGCTAGACTTCCAATTCCCGCGATGAATCTGAAGAGCAGGGATGTCACCCAAAACACTTTGCTAGGCACGATAGGGTCATCCGAGGTGCCGGCCGAAACCCCTGCAATTAGACAAGAGAATACCTCGCTGTCAGGATCGTGGATCTTCTGACTGAGGGTTTTCAAGGCTGCAAGGCAGATAGGTTGGTCGTGTCGAATGGACCAATCCACGGGAAGCCATTCAGAAAAAGAATCTCGAAAGCGACTGATGCACTCTTCAGAAAATGGGGGAGTGGGTCGTTCTTGCTCAGTGTGAGCCAAGAATTCTTTATGAAGACCTTGCCCAAGGATCATAGGGATCCACCTATCTCGCAAAGGCTTTAAAGAATCGTTCACGTTGGGTGGGAAGCTCCAATCTGGCTGACTGCCTTTGCCTCCCCCATCATGGAGTGCATGCGGAGAGGCGTGCAATTGCTTGGTGGGAATCATGGAAAGGGCTAGATTTAGGCTTAAGTTGGGGATCCGTGAACTGAGTCGGGAGCTCAAGCGAGAGGCAATCGCTTTGGCTAGCTCAGTTGGATACTCTGCGGTTCGCCCGCAGGAACCCGAAGAATCTTTCAGACCTGCATAAGGCTGGTGATTGGAATGCGTGCAGTCGCCAGCCAAGTCACAGAACCATTCGTGACTACAAGCAAACAGCCAATGTTTGGAGATGTCCAGGTCGAATGAACAAGCTGCAACGACTACACATTGGCATTGTTTTTGGTTCAACCAGGATTGAACTACTGGATCATACCATGTGAAAGCATTTGGTGGAGCTTCCAAGTGGCCATGGCCACCTGCGGCATGGACATGTTGCAAGCAGCGCACGGCACGATGCAGCAGTTCGCGGCTCTGGAGCAAACGCTGTTGCTCGTGAGGAGCAGGGTCAGGGATTCCCAATGGAAACTCATATGTACGAATTGGCTTGGGGCCAGGTGGGCGAAGCTTTAGCAGTGAGAATTCACATGGAGGGCTAGCACCACAATATGAAACTAGACCTGAAACACAAAGGCGCAACAAATCTTCAAAGAAAAGGTCATTAAGGAGATCCATTTCAGGAGACACCAAAATGTCGATAGGCAGCACGGCTCGGTTGAGCGCTGTACAGAGAGGAGCGTGAGCTCCACTGCAAATGTCTAGGAACAAATGAGGCCCTGGCGCAATCAAAAGAGTACCTGGCTGATCGGCGGTGAGACGGAGGATTGGTTGGTCAGGGGTGGTGCAGGTTGCTCTTCGGCAGAACAGGCAGGGACAGGTGGTGAGACCCTAAACGTGTCTGTGTCCCCTTCGGAACACGCAGGGCCCCGTCAAAACGGAGCAGATCGGTGATCAATGGCACTATGTTTCTGGCCACACACTGTACCATCGTTCTTCAACACTGCACAAACATGTTCATACTTACAGGCTTTAGGATTGGAACACATCTTCTGCTGATACTTCAGGCAAATAGTCTTCTTTTGACCGTCACAGAGCACTTCAGTACCCCAGGCCGGCCGAGTGGAGGACATGTTCGATTTGCCTGAGCCTTTGGTGGAAGACTTACCATTGCCTTTGCCGCTGCTCTTGCCTTTTCCTTCGAAGCTCACGCAGGGCACAAATGGGCGAGGTTGCAACAAGGAAGCCATATCTGCTCGAATTCAACAAGTTCGTGAATCGCGTCATCGAGGGTCCACTGTTTATAGTTGCAATTTTTCCCCAAAGGACTTGATCGGCCAACTGTAGTTCTGAAACATTTGGGGGACGTAAACCACTCTCGGAATCGAAGCGTTGACTGGCATGTGCCAAAAAAGCGATGAACATACTTCTTAAGAGTCGACAAATGCGCTCCCCGACAGAAGGCTATGGCGGTTGCCTGCAGGTGCAAAAGCTGGGACAACTGCTGAAGCCCGATGTTGGATTGAGGGATGTCTCGAACCGGGATATCATCGATAAGGAGATCCGACATCAGTTCTGGCGGCTTTGCGAGCTCGGATCATGCTAGACTCATCTTGGAGTTTGGCACTAAGTCGGTATTTCCAGGGAATCCATTTCCAGTCTTTTCGTTGGAGCTGCTGGTAAGTCAATGCTAGCATGCGACTGGAAGGCATGAGATCTGGATCCAGGAGTTCTCCTGGGTACTGACGCTCAAAATTGTCTCGCAGTTCCCGAATGAGATCCGGGCTGAGCTTAGCGGGAAAAGGTTCATTCCAAGCTGAGCTTGTGCGAGAACCTGAAGACAGTTCGGAGCTATCACCTGATGCAGGAAGGAACGAGGCAGGTGCAAAGCCTGAAGCAGCCGCTGGCTGGTAACGCGTCCACAGGACTCGAAGCGAAGAGCGGATCTTAGGAGTTATGTCTAAACCCATGGAATGAATGGCTGAATCCAATTCAGGCAACGACAGGGCCAGCAGACCAAATGTTTCTGTATCATAGTTCTCGTCCAGCAATGCTTGTTGGACTATGTCGGGAATGCGAAGTTCGTGCAACAAATCCGCAAAGGAAGAGCGAGCCATGAGATAGCATACAACAATTGGAATGGAGAAGAAGATGGATGATGTTCGCTTTTCTTTTTTTAATGGTACATGCAAATTAGACT